AATGTTTCTCGTGGAGCCCCAAGAAATTTTTGGACACTGGGGCATTTTAAAATTTGACAGATGGGCCAGGCCAGAAGCAGATAGATGGAGAATGTTTGTGTGAACTAATTGAAAAAAAGAGAACAAATTCATATGCACACTGGACATATCTTGTTTGTTGTGCAAAAAAAGAAAGAGAAAAGAACGATACAGTATTTAAAATTAAGAACAGTTTTACCAGCATACACCTAACAGTATTTTAGTGGAAGACCTCAGGGGCCATCCATCCTTTGTAATAATAATAGGAGCAACTCCATTGGCCATTCAGTCCAACCTTCTTTTGCCTTGCAGGAAAAGCACAGTCAAAGCACCTCCAACAGATGGCCACCCAGACTTTGAAGTAAGAACAATAATAGGACCAATCCCATGGGCCACACAGTTCAACCTCCTTCTGCCTTGCAGGAAAATCACAGTCAAAGCACCCCCAACAGATGGCCACCCAGCCTTTGAAATAAGAACAATAATAGGACCAACCCCATGGGCCACCCAGTCCAACCTCCTCCTGCATGCCCTAAGGGCTCCACAGTGCACAGTTTGAGAACCATTGCTCCAGATTGATGCAGAGGTGGATAGGAAATAGATTGCAAGATGAAATTTCTATAACAAGTCTTACTCCTATACTTAATTCTGAGCCTATGGTAGTATGGCATTGTGTATGAAAGAAGATGGAGATGCTAACCATTTGTTCCTGAACAGGCCTTATTGGTGCACATCTGTAATGTGAAAGTGATAATTTTAATTAGTCTGGTATTTAGCAATTGTACTAGTAGACCCATTGACAAGCTGATAAAGCAAATCCAGAACTGTGCATATCAGGAACATAGCAGGAAATCAGGAAGAAACAGATTTAAGATGTTTAATTGCTTGTTTCTTAAATTGGCTTATCTTTGATAGTTATGGATTATGTGAAGATACATGAGAGGGTCCTCTTTGCAGTGGTGACCCTGTTATAGAATCCTACTTGTCTGGGAAGCTGACCAAGAATGATACTTACTTTATTTTGGTACCAAGTTGAGACCTGGCTAATGGCTATATACCTGGCTATCTATGACAGCGCTTAGGTTTGCCAATAGTGTTTTTTATAAACAAAACCTCCAACCAACAGAAAGGGCACACAGCTAGTTCTAACCAGGTTTACTAAAAAACACATCAAACTTAAAATTTTGTTCTGTTTTTTTGAAGTGGAAAGAAACACACAACTGAGCATCCTCCTTTCTCTTGAAAGTCACTGATTACCAAAAAGGAAGATTTAAAATGTAAATAAGATGGTGGATATATTTCCAAGAACCACCTATGAGCATTCCTTGCCAAAGAAAACTCTATGAAACCCATAGGGCTATTATTATTTATTGTCTGTTTATGCCACCTTTCTCCCAGGGTGGGACCCAAGGGTGCTTCCAAAGCAATCAGTTAAAAGATAATTCACAGTAAAATTTAAAACAATACTGCATACAAACATTTTAAATTCACACATATATACGTTAACAGGTTACTTTAGGATGTCTGTGTCAATGCATAACCACATCCACCCAAGAATGCATAGCTTGGAACTTGAACCAAGATTCAGGGGAACATCTGTACCCAACCATAATTAAAATTTAGGGTCATTTCAAAGCCCAGTGAACAGGCATCTCCACATCCTGTCTGACTTGTATGTAAATTTGCCAGCATTTCTTCTGGCAAAAAATAAGTAAAGTAATAAACTGTGGCATAATGTTTCTGTTGTCAGAAAATGTTGTATAGGAGGCATTTGTTTAACCAGTTATACCCCGATACGTTTTTGTTGATTTGCTGATGGGTAATAGCAAGCTAAATGGAGAAATTATATGAGGTTACCAAAACAAGCCTTGGTATTGCAGCAATAATTCTTTTTAATGCTAAATTTGAAATAAAGTTAAATTTCATCAATGTTATACATATTTTGCACCACTTATGTGGCACATTGTCCATTTTAATTATTTCACATTCTGTGATTTTCTTTCAATGATTATCAATTCCCTGGAGCTGAAATTGGCCAAAAATGTAAACGCTGTAACTGCAAGAAATTTGATGGACAATTCATTAGCATCACAGAATTAATTTTTTAGGTTCTCCCCCTATTTTGTTCTTTCACATGTAGTAATTTTAGGCAAGTAAGTATTGGTCTCAGTTTGAGAACACAATTGTAAAAGTCTGTGGAAAGCATTAATATGCTGCTTTGTCTTATAGCTGATTTATAAATATTTATATCATATATTGAGAGCTACACATTTACTTGGAGAATATCTGGCTAGAATGGGATTTGAAATTGATATTGCTAAAATTTGTAATATACTTTGACTTCCTCAGAATATCATTAGAAAATGAATAGATGTTCTAGTTGTTATTTTAAAGGCCCCTTCCACATAGCTGAATAAAATCCCACATTATCTGCTTTGAACTGGAATATATGGCAGTGTGGACTCAGATAACCCAGTTCAAAGCAGATATTATGGGATTTTTTGCCTTGATATTCTGGGTTATATGGCTGTGCTGAAGGGCTCTAAGAAACACTGTCTTAGAGGATAATAGCCAAAGCAATAATAGACTAAAAAACAATTAAAAATTCTGGTTACTGCTTAATGTCCATGTTCCCAATTTCTTTGCCCCAAATCTTCATTCTCCTCCCAGTGTTTCTTCACTGCTAGTGTTCATTTCATTTTGCCTGACAAGTCCAAACAATAATAAACATGAAAAAGTATATTGAAACTTCACACATATCTCAGTTGTATCACATTTCTGATACACCTGGCCTGTTATGTGCTGTTATGGGAAAAATTCAAACTCCAGCAAGGTTTTTGAAAGTCTGGTCTACTGAGACTATATTTTAACGAGTGACACATGAGCTTTGGTTGAAAATATTAGAGTTAACACATCAACCAAGTAGGCAGCTATATACATATGGCAATCAAATAGTCCAGGGATACCTAAAGCAGTAGTCTGAGGGGAAAGTGTTAGCTCATGAGCTGTCATATGCAGGTCAACAGTGAGTTTCCAAAAGACTAAGAAATAGTTGTAACCAACTGGCACATGTATAATACTGGCACATGGGGTCAAGGTAAAAATGGTTGGTCTTGAACTTTGGCTATCCTGACCAGAGCTAAAATAGACTACATACCATATTTAATCACATAAGAGTCCCCAACACATAATCATTGCACCCTTCTTTTTGGGGTCCGGGTTAGGGTCTTTTTATATTCCCTGCATAAGAGTCGCAGCCCCTGTAGTTCTGAGGAGCAGGCGCATAAGTGGGCAAAAGCTGCCATCAGCCGAGGAAGACTTGTTAACTCTGGCTGGTAAGTGTGCAGGCAGGTGAGCCTTCACCTACCCACAAACACCGGTGGGAGACGCTTATTGGGTTTTCCTCAGTTGCAGGTCTCAAAATATTTCACCACATAATAATTGCACCCCCCTTTTTGAGGAGGAAGGGGGAAAAGTGTGACTATTATGTTGTGAAATATTGTAATTGGAAACAGAGGGCAGTGAAGCTTAATTTTATATAAAAACAAGACAAACCAGATCAAACATTGGAATAAAACAAAAGAAGTACATTAAAACTATAATAGTACCAAATTATAGATAACTATCATGGCATTTGAAGGGCCGAATCCTATTAGTTAGTCCCAACTAGAGTAGACACTAATGAAAACACTTTTTACTTATGCAATTTATACAAATAAACCACATTTGTTCTGTGGGCCTTTCCAGCTAGAGCTGACAGTAAGCCAAAGTATGTAGTATAACAGCATAGGAACTTTTAAACATTTTTGGCATGATGTAATGCATTTTGGTGTGTGTGTTCAAGTTGTTTCTGACTACTGAGACCCTAAAGTGACCTGTCACTGGGTTTTCCTGGCAAAACCTACTCAGAAGGAGTTAGCCATTTTCTTCCTCTGAGTCTGAGAGAGAATGTGACTTTGCCAAAGTCACTCAGGGGGGTTGCCATGGCCAAGTGGAGATTTGAACCCTTGTCTTTTATTGCTCTTATCCAATGCTAATATTAGTGTACTACAGTGACTTTAATGTAATATAGAGTGTATTCTAATTTTTATATAAACCATAAGGTTTTGGTCAACATTCTGTATGCAGCATTCATGCTTTATAAATGTCCTAGATGGCTTAGGTCTAGGCTATTTGGCCCTAGACAGTTAAGGTCCATGCTATTTGGCTGAACGCATCCTTTTGTTAGAACCTGCCCGGGCCCTGAGATCTTCAGGAAAGGCTCTTCTCTCAGTCCCACCTCCATCTCAAGCCCGGTTGGTGGGAATGAAAGAGCTGCCCCTCAACTCTGGAACTCCTTGCCCAGGGAAGCCGGAGTGCCCCGCCCCTCCCTGCTGTCCTTCCAGCAGCAGGCTAAAACTTTCTTATTCGGACAGGCTTTTAAAGATGAAAGTTTTAAAGATCAATTAGGGGATGCTTTGGTTTTTAACTTTGAACATGTTTTAATGGTTTTTAACTGAGATTTTTAAATACTGTTTATATTTAATCCTGTTTTAATGTTTGCATATTTGTATATTTTAAATTTATATACTGATACTTTTATGTTAAACCTCTTTGAGTCTCCTGAGGGAGAGATAAAGCGGAATAATAATAATAATAATATATTGAGAAGTGTCTGACGTGTGATCCAATACAGCAGCCAGCATAGTGATCTTGTTTGCTGTGTACTAATCTTGTTGTTTTCCATAATAATAATAATAATAATAATAATAATAATAATAATAATAATAATAATAATAATGTCATTAATATGTGAAACTATGATGTTCACTAAAGGTATTCTAAATCTTTGCTGTGATGATGGAATTTTTGTTTATATGTCCCCTTTTCCTGAAAAGGAGCTGCTCAGAGATGGGTGGATTAAATTAAACTAGTGACGGAACAAATTTGATTCATACTTTTCTGGTAAAGCAAACTTTTGGTGCTTTTTTTTTGTTTTTCAGTGTAATGTTCAAGTTTAGAAATGCCTTATGTGGATCGTCAAAATCGTATTTGTGGTTTTCTCGACATTGAAGAAAATGAAAACAGTGGAAAATTTCTGCGGAGATATTTTATACTGGACACAAAAGAAGAAAATTTGGTGTGGTACATGGATAATCCACAGGTACCCTAATCTGAGATTACTTTTTCTTTTTGCCATCAAATTCAAAAGACCTTACGTTAACTTTAGCTTTTAAAAGATGGTCCAATTTCTTTAAATATTGATCTGTAATCTTTGCATTTCGTGTTTGATTGTTTTATATATTTGGTTAGAATTGTTGGGAAAAGGGGGAATTTATTGTCATAATTGAAGTGATTATCATTGGAAACAGATACATTATGGTTTCTTCCTGGACACATTTTTTAAAGGGCCAGATAAATGTATGAATAGTCTGATTTCAGGATTTCTAATTGAAAGTTGGTTCTTTTGAACTAAGGGTCCTTCCAGACAGGCCCTATATCTCAGGATCTGATCCCAGGTTTTTTGCGTTAAACTAGATTATATGGATCTGCACTGCCAGATAATCTGGGATAGACAGAAAACCTGGGATCAGATCCTGGGATATAGGGCCTGTCTGGAAGGATCCTAACTGTTTTTCTGAAGTTGTGATCTAGTCACCACTGCCAATTAAAATGGACCATGAAAGATGAGATTACTAATAGATATGGCTAATGTGACAGGCCATTTTAGTGCTATTATTGGAATGAATTATTGAAATCCCTGGTGTGAAAAACTGGATGGCCTATACAGACACACCTCAACTAAACAAAGCCTTTACACACAAAAATCCCCCCTGTTTTAACAATGTTTTTTCCTGCCTGTGCAGACTTCTGTTTTCCTCTTTGTCCTCAGTTTAGTTGGAAGCCTTTTCAGCAAAATATGTACTGGAAGGATTGAGAAAGCACAGAGTTTTACTCCCATGCTGCAGCCATGCTTCTCCAGTAAAAACTACAATAAAACCTTTCTGATCATATTCTTGCTGCATGTGTCTTCTTACAACAGAAAAGGTGAACAGTAGCTGCTTCCAGAATCCCTGGTTCACCTTTCATAAGCAGCATAGTAGAAGGAAAAGTGGAAAGCAGATAAGTCTGCTTCACAATTTCCCTTAACAGGATTTTAAAAAGATATATATTTGGTAATCAAAATAGAAATAATAAAAAAACGGAGTAGATCAATAGGTACCACTTCGGCGGGAAGGTAAATGGCACTCCATGCAGTCAAGCCGACCACATGACCTAGGAGGTGTCTAGGGACAACACAGGCTCTTTCGCTTAGAAATTGAGATGAGCACCACTTCTCAGAGACAGAAGGGGAAACCTTTACTTTTATCTGTGTTTCATTAGTTCTAGGCATTGAATGTTTGTCTTTGTGTTTGTGTATGCTGGAATCCACCCTGAATCCCCTCGGGGAGATAGGATGGAATACAAATAAAGTATTAATATAATAATAATTATTATTATTATTATTATTATTTCTTAATTAGTAGCTTTCATTTCACATGCAGTTTATGTTCTTGACTACAGAACCTTCCCTCTGGATCTCCACCAGTTGGATGCATTAAACTTACCTATATTTCAAAGGTATGTGCACTCTGGAAAACATTACATTTTCAAATGCATTCTGATTATATTTTTATAATTTGAAGACAGTTAAGTTTATACATTTGGTCTAATGGCTTAGGACTATACTGGATGGAAGTTGAATTGTGTCTTTTGAACATCTGATTGGTATAATGTAAAGCCAGAATTCTGAAATCTTTGTCAAATCTCTGTGTGCAGAAAATAGTATGCATGCTAAAATCTGTTTTCTCAAATCTGTCAGTGTGTGTCAAATCTAAACTAGGAACTACAGTTAATTATCAGTATACTTTAAATAGTGGCCATCCAAGCTCTGTTCGTTTCCCCATTGCTGGAAAAAGAAATCAGCCTAAAAGCAAAGCCTGTGGGGGGCAAAATTATATGAATACTGTTTTAGCACATTCCTTGTGCCTAGTGTAAGCTTTCAGTTACTATTATTTTTGAAAATATTGGTGGGGACAGTCATAGAGATCTGGGTGATGGTCAAATGCCTCTGCTCCCCCCTCCCCTTGTGGTTGTCTGCCCCTGGACTATTTGAAAAAACGATGTCTTGGAGTTGAGAAAAATGGATGAAACTAATAACATCTTGTGTTAGTTTGGATAAAATGGCTTCATGGAAATGACTACATTGTGGTTTATTTATTTATTATTTATTTTCTGCGTTTGTAACCCGCCCTTCTTCACTTCATCCTTTGCCTGATCAAGCCGAGGTAAAAAGAAAGCTAAATCCTCTCCACAAAACCATAGCTTCCCATTATGTCTAAATTAGAAAATTGTGGTTTCCTAACAAAGCAGGATGTGGCCTTCACTTTTAATGTATGGCTTTCTAACCTGGCTCAATTGGAAGCAATTGCCATACTTTTCTGTTTGGGATGTAAAAGGAATATGGTTAATCATGCCTTCGAGGCTTATTAAGTGCTTGAACAAAGACAGGTGTGGCAGCATCTGTAGGTAATGCCTGGCTTGTGATTATTGGAATTGGGTCAAGTGTAGTAGAAATAGATGCTTCTCATCTTCTAGTGGCCACACCAGAGTAAAGAGATGTGCAGGAGACTTCTAAATTATGTCATGAAGTATAATAATTACAATACAATCAGTAATATGGGAACAACTTTCAACATATATGTGTGTTGAGTTTGTATCACTGTAAAACAATGAAACTAATTCTCTTTGTGTGTGGGGGGGGATTAAATATTTAGTTTATAATTCTTTGATTTTAGTTTTATGATTACTGGGTTACTGTGTGTTTTCTGGGCTGTATGGCCATGTTCTAGAAGCATTCTCTCCTGACGTTTTGCCTGTATCTATGGCAGGCATCTTCAGACCTCACAACCTCAGGAGAGAATGTTTCTAGAACATGGTCATACAGCCCGAAAAACACACAACAACCCAGTGATTCTGGTCATGAAAGCCTTCGACAATTTATGATTACTGTTTTGTGTTCATAATCCAAACATAAAACAGAAACGATATCTATGCTGCTTATTTACCTGTTTTATTTTAAAAAACAGTTTTATAGTTACATATAATACTTTAATTGCTTTACATTCCCTTACTACATCATGTCATAAAATTGGAAAATAGTTACTTGATTGAGTGACATTGCTCCTGTTCTTGAATATAATATTTGAAGGCAGCAATATTCTCATGTAGTATTTTTGTGGTTTATTTGTTTTACTAAAAAAATACCACAAGGGTTGGATATTTGGAAAACAGGTCCAAATGTTCCAACATATGACATCTGGAAATACTTGGTTGAGAAATGTCAAGAAATGTCAATCAATCAATGATGCCTTTATTACAGTCAACAAACAAATGAGGCAATACAATTGTTATATACGTCTTACATATCAAATTCTTGTCTACTGCTAATAAGCCTGTGTGGCTTTAATATATATATATATTATTCATATAATTGTTTGATTTTAATTGTATCAGTTTTATACTCAATTCAAACATATTTTATTAAGCAGTTTGTTTGTTTGGTTGCATGCTGCAAGTCGCTTCTGGTGTAAGAGACTCAGCTGTCTACAAAGCCATTGCCCAGGGGACGCCCGGATATGTTATGATCCTGTGGGAAGGCTTCTCTCGTGTCTTCTAATGAGACATGTTGCATTATCACAGGATGTCTATGCCCAACACGTTGGAGAAATTATACTGCTTAGCTGATATTGCACCACCTGACATCAGCCGGGAAATAGCAGCCTGTAATGAAAGGACCAAGGCATTGACATCTCCGGCCCATCCTCTGTTCGGATATCAGCTAGCAAGCCAATGCCTTAAATCAAGAAATAGCTTTCAAAAATCTACAGAGATACTCACAGAAACACCTCAGCAACCTAGAACCTCAATCAATAGCTGATACCAGATGAGAGACTTCCTCCTGGGCACACAGAAGATTGGGTGACCTGGAAGGCGCTGAACAGGCTTCGGTCTGGCACCGTGAGATGCAGAGCCAATTTTAAGAAATGGGGCTACAAAGTGGAGTTCACAATATGCGAGTGTGGAGAAGAGCAAACCACAGACTACCTACTACAATGCAGTCTGAGCCCTGCCACATGCACAGTGGAGGATCTTCTTTCACTGACACCTGAGGCACTCCAAGTGTCTAGCTTCTGGTCAAAGAAAATTTAGCATAATTACAAGTTTTTTAACTTGGTTTGTGTTTCTAAATACATTATAACTGTACCCTCAATTCGCTTCTGGCACAATAAATAAATATTAAGAAGTTTTTACAGTATATTTGCATCCTTTTAATTATATCCTTTTATACCATCCCAACATGGCCTGTTTATGTTTCCCAATATAGTGTGCACACACTTCTTTCTATATATGTGTAAGATGTGTGTAAGTACATTTATTCTTCCCTGCATTATTAACTGCCATCAAGTTGACTTTAGCAACACCATTAATGAGATACTCCAAAGTCAATCTATCATCAAAAGCCCTGCTTAGGTCCTGCAAACTCAGGGCTGTGGCTTCCTTGTGTGAATCCATCAACGCAGTCTTTCTTTTTTCCTATACTGCCTTCCACCTTACCAAACATTATTGTCTTTTTTATTCAGTCAGGTCTTCTCATGATATATGCAAAGTTAGTTTAGTTGTCTTGGCTTCTAAGAAGAATTCAGGCTTGATTTAGTCTAGCATCAATTTATCTCCACAGTATTCACAGAACTCAGCGTATGTTTAACATAACCTTGGACTTCTTAATTCTTATCTACTTCTGAGTTTTTAGGCTTCAGGATCAATGAACTATGGGACATTTAGATGTTTACACAATCAAGAAATTAATATGCAAAACAGTTAAGGAGTTATAAATTTGTAAAAGTCAATTTTTGGAAGTTTCATGCAGAATCAGAATCAAGTATTTGAGTAATTCTGTTACTAAAATAGTTGCATTCCATGATTTGCAAGATATATTGTTTACTGGGAGCAAATGTTACTTTTTTAAAAGGCAAATAATTGTCTATTATCATTGTAACTTCTGATGTCTATATTAATGAAACAACTGAATTTTCACAAGCTAATTGAATACATATAATTGCAATGGCTTGATTTTTTTTAGAGCTATTACCTTTTTTGTTAAAAACTGATTTGTTATATATTTGTTATATATTAAGGTCAGACAATGAAAATTTGCATTGCTTACTACAATCTTGATATCTTAAATGGACAATTATTAACATTTATCCAATTTTCCCAATTACGGTGAAATTAGACTCATTGTAGCTTTCCAGTTTCATCTCATTCTCTAGTACGTGATCTGAAGCTTGTGATATACCTTTTGATATGCATTTGATTTATTTCTCATAACATGAATTTTGTTAATTTTGTTAGGTTAGTGATGCAACTAAACTGAGGCCAAAAGCAGAATTCTGTTTTGGTAAGTTTTTAATGACAGCTTTTAATTTTCCATTATTTTCAAATTCTAAAACCACGAGATGTTCTTCTTTTTCCTTGTAAGGCACAAATGGAAGTATCTGAGTAGTAGATCCTCATAAGGAATTTGCTAGGCCCTCTAGTGAGAGACTATGGTAACTTCTGGTGGAAGTATACCATAGCATTGCCTGAAAAAGCTAGAAGATTCCTTGAAAATGTGCATTTTGTCGCATGTGGGTAGGTGAAAATGTGGGTACTGGCCCAGTGAGTAAAGGGGTTCATAGAGTACATTATTAGAAATTTAAATTGATTTATTTTTTAATAAAATGCTTGAATTGATAATTATATTTAAAAACAACTTGGCAATATGTGTTTTTAAACACAATATCACTTTTTAAACACAATACAGGCAGTCTCCAAATGATGAGCACTATAGGTTCTGTAGCATTGTTCTTAAGTTGAATTTGTAAGTCAGAACAGGTACATTTTTAAAATGTAAGTTGGGAAGGGTTAACACCCCTGTGGTATTTGTTTTGCTATCTGTGCCCTTGTTCAAAAGATTTCACCTCAGTTTCTATCCCTATGATAATGATTTTGAAAAAAATGGCTTGTTGTGGAAACAACGACCAGTGATAAAGCTTCACCTTTTCCTTCTTGGGGGTAGATTTCTTTCATTTCCTGTTGTCTCACCCCCATTCTTCATTATGAATTGTTTGTACTAGGGACTGCCTGTGGTTGGAAATGTCTTGTAATTGCTCTCCGTTTTTTAATAAATTAATAGAACAGATTTATACTACAGTGTCTGAAGCAAGCATTAATTTCAAATGTCTGGTGATAACTTTGCACATTAGAAAATCGTGCTACTAGTGAATATTGCAGTTATTTGTTCAGATTTATTTATTGGTTTTTCTTAACTGGAAGAGGATGTTATCATTACTATTGGATCCTGGCTCTTATTGTTACAAACAGTAATTTGTGATCATTTGCCCCTTTGCCCTAACACAAAGTACATAAGTGTATTTTTTGTTGGATTTCGCATTCATTTTTTATGGAGTTTTGGGGAAATGTATACATTGATACCAAAGGTACTTGTACGCTTACACACAGTGTATTGTGAAATACTAGTTTGTGGACATGTTCTCTCCCTAGGACTGCTTCCTATTAAGAGATTTGCAAATGTTTGGATTAGCCCTTTGCTTAGAACAGGTTTAAAGACAGCTGCCTTTTCTGAGGTGGTGCAAATTTTAATTAATTAGTCTTCAATTTTAAAGAAGCTGAACCATATGCAGAACAGTGTCAGAGTTTGAATCATGATGTTGGGTCACTATAATGTGTGATAAGGATGTTTTTAAAGGTAGCTTACAGACTGTGATGTGTCATCTGGTTGTCATTTTCAGTCTTGCCACAGCTTGCATGCAACAGTTTGCCTCACATCTGATTATACTGCGGCACCATTTTCCCTAGGCTTTCTGCCTACCTGTATTTATGATCAAGTAAAGATGCACAATGAACAGAATATTCCTGAATATTAATGCATTTGCAGCAATTCACTTTCTATTGTATCACTATTAAAGTAAGTAAGTGGACCGCCACCCCATATGAACATATATTTTCACATCTACTACTCTGATATACAACAGTATAGAACACAGTCTTTATGAACAGTATTTCAATCCATTTTTCCTATATACAATTAATTAAACTATGAGAATGTTTCTCCTCTAAAATGTCATTCAGACTCTACATTTAGATCTGAAGCCATTACAGCCACCATATCATTGGATATTATTAATTTTGTAATAGTGGTTAGTGTGTATAAAAGAAGAAAATAATTCTTCTGTTCTTCTGTATTTCTTTGGGTTGCAGGTGCATGAGTTGTGACCAATAGTCTTGTGCATTTATATAGAATCACTATCTGTTTATTTTTGTTCCATTCGTAAGGCCCCATTTTAATTTTTGAGCACCTCTTGCAAAAATAGGTGCCCTTCCGAATGAGCTTTTCATCCCAAGTCCGAAAAAATGAATATTTTTGTCCCATTGGCGGCAATGTGCAGGCTTCCCACTCTCCCCTTACCCTCAGTTTTAGGACTAGAGGGGTGAAACTAGCCAGCTCCGCTGCCATTTCTTCCTGCCGTTTCCCCCTTCAATCGGGAAACCTACCTTGCGCCACTATTGAGGTCTCTTTAGCAGAGCTAGGGGCGGACCAATGGTGGGATACTTGGTGCGGGACTGGAACACGCCACATTTGCTGGCGGCTTGCCGGGGCTTGCCCTCCATCGCATTTGCCGGTGGCCTTGCTGCACAACTGTTCAGGCCAAGAAAGGCGCTGGCAGGCATCGATGATTTCTGGGCCTGCATGCCACACACACACACTTTTATTCAAAGAAGAGTGCATGTGTGGCTTGCAGGCCCAAAGTGCCCATGCTTTCCAGGGCCTGCACCTGAACGCCAAGCACCGCTTACTTGGTGCTCAGTGCTTGGCTTCAGGCCCTGGCAGGAGCAGGCACTTTGGGCCTGCAAGCCACACACACACTCTTCTTTGAAAGAAAGAGAGAGTGTACATGACATGCAGGCCCAACGCTTTGTGCCTGCAAGGGCCTGCTGCCAATCAGGTGACCAAACGGTTACCGTTCCCACTTTCCTTTCATTTCACCGATACTTTTGTACCGGGAGTGGGGGTGGGGGTGGGAGTGTACCATTTCATGCCATCCAAATGAAACAAATGGTACAAAAGCATGAATTAAACAGCTGAAACAGTTACCACGCCCATGACTAGTGACCAAACAATTCTGCAGTGGAGATTTTGGAATCAGTGGTTATGTAGGAAGTTGAAAACATGGTTTCTTTTTTATTTTTCACATAGCAAGTATATAGGCATACTCCCTCCTTGACTTGTATATTGTCTGGAAGGATGAGTAGACATGGATGGGGGTTGGGACAATAGTGCTTTGAAAGCCTGACCAGAGCTCTAAAGAACTAAGAGACCTTCATAAGGATGCCATAAGTTGATGGCAACCTCATGACACATATATGTTACTAAAGCATTAAATGTAGATTTATTGCAGATTTTGAGTGTGGTGTCCTTCCCTGTCTCTAATTTTTTTATATTGCCTAGAGCAGTGGTTCTCAACCTGTGGGCCCCCAGGGTTTACCAGCTGTTAGCATTTCTTGGAGTTGAAGGCCAAAATATTTGGGGACCCACAGGTTGAGAACCACTGACGTAGAGCAAGCTATAAACTTTTTAAAAATTAATGCAGTTCATTCACTCTTCTGTCGTTTGTAATAGTCATGAATGCAGGGATGAGGAAATACTTTCTACAAGCCAATGATCAGCAAGACTTAGTTGAATGGGTAAATGTCCTGAACAAAGCTACCAAAATCACAGTAAGTAACTTTTGGGTATGATAATAGGGTAATTTCACATATACATGTTATATTTGGAAGAATTTAGAAAAAATATTTTTTACATTCCAAGTTCAAGTCAACTTATTAGGCATGGGTGATTATACAATTTAAGACCCCATGAACATATCAGTTGCCACTCAAAATCTGTTTCATAAGTATTTTGTGACTTAAATCGGTCTAGAAATTTTCACAGATCCAAGCTTCTTGTTAAGGGTAATATGAAAACCCACCTTAAATTGCAAGATATCAGTTTTATTGTGAGAATATGATATATTAAATTGGGTGTGTGATCTGTGTTCCACCTGACCAGCAGTGCTTAGACACTATGAAACTGGAATAATTTAATCAGCTTTGTGGCAGTGGTTTTTAGAGAAAGTTGTTATCTTAAATATAACTGCATGTGTTTTTGATAAGGAAAAGAATGGGTAGATATTTATTCCTATAAATTGCCTGTTTTATCTCGCTAGTCTTTTTGAATTTTAAGAGTATTGCTTATAGAGTTTTATACAGTCAATTTAACAGTGCATATGTTTTTCAGGTACCAAAGCAGGCCGAGCCACTGACTCAAAGTGATAATCTAGCATGTCACACTGAAAATCTAGGGTTGAAGAAGCAAATGTCTTACCGAACAGAGATTGTTGGTGGTGTTCCTATAATAACCCCTACTCAGGTATGATTGCATTTAATAGAATTTACAAGTTTGCTTAAAGGTACTAGATTATCAGAATGTTATCCCTATAGGTCAGTGGTTCTCAACTTGTGGGTCCCCAGGTGTTTTGGCCTACAACTCCCAGAAAACCCAGCCAGTTTACAAGTTGTTAGGATTTCTGAGAGTTGAAGGCCAAAACATCTGGGGACCCACAGGTTGAGAACGTCTGTTATAGGTGGATAACTTCCTGCAGTAAGAGGAATTGCGAAATTTACCAATTTTATACGTGGATTGCTTTGCATACACAATCCAATATTTGCTCCTGTGAATTGATAAGGAAAGAGCTAATGTTGTGTAGTGATTTGTGTTTTGAAGTAGGGCTTTGGAGCCCAGGGCTACAATTATCGCTCACCCATTGAAACCCACTGGTTAAATTCTCTCAGTCTCAGTGGGAGTGAAAGGCAACCCCTTGAAAAAGCTTTCTAAGAAAACCATAAGTTAGAAACTACTTGAAGACATTTAAAGAGCAACAAGTGTACTTTTCAGATATGTGTTCAGGTGGATTATAAAGTGTGATATCCAGATATATTTTTTTGTATATCATTACTTTAACATCCTGTCATAATATTCATTAAATGATTGTGTTTTATTGTTTAAACCAAGTGTAGGAGTATGTATCTGTGTTGATAAGACCTAGACACCTGCCATGGGAGAGGCTGAAATTCACCATGGGTCTTAAAGGAAGAAGTGAAGGGTGGTGGCAGAACAAGAAGTGGCAAGGTTACATTACTGGTTAAGGTAGCCTTGCCACTTCGTGTTCTGCTTCATAGAGCCCACTGAACATCTTTTCCAATATTGCAGAGGTTCTGGATGGGGAATCATTAAAAATCTTTTTTCCCCTTTTCTAGTAGGACAGTCCATGAGTGGAGGTCTGCCCATGGGTGACCTGTTTTCACTCTATATATAACTCTACCCACTAACACTTCTGTCAAAATAATTATTTATGAATTGCTGGTGTAGAGTGGTTATAGCAAATACAGGTGAAGGACGCTGGATAGATAATTCTTACATAACTCATATTTTTGTGATAAATTCAGGTGAAGGAATATTAGCAACCTGCTGATCTGGCTTCCAGAAACTTTAAGGCTAGTTCCTATATTTTTAAAAAATATTTCAGCTCTATAATAGACTAGTATCGAAGAGCATAATGTTGGATCTTCAGGAGAAAATCCCCCAAATATCTTGATTCTTACAGGCCTAATTCTTAATTTTTGCCAGCAGTTCAGAATTATTTGTTCAACTATATTTCCAAACTTTTGGAATGACTGTAAAAGTTTTAGTTTTTGTTTGTATGGATACAAATCCAGAACATATGATATAGTAAGGGATTTTTATGGACATGAAATAAATCTGGGATAAGCTGCAAGCACATTTATATACATAACTCCCACGTTTTCTGACATCCTGATTAAAGTACTGTCCAGAATAGGAGTTATAACCTAAAATAATGCTAAGAAAAAAGGTTTCTGCTTAATTTATTAGTAGTGAATTTTAGGCCTGGCCTCTTAAGCTGTTTTGTTTGCTTTTCTCTAGAAAGAAGAGGTAAATGAATGTGGTGAAGGTGATAAAAACTACTTGAAACGGTCCCAAAGCCACCTTCCTTACTTTTCTGCCAAACATCCCCCAGATAATGCTGTGATCAAAGCTGGCTACTGTGTTAAACAAGGAGCAGTGGTAAGCAAGTAGGATACGTTTCCAGATAAAAGAGGTTTCTGGTTTGTGACCTTATTGCCAGGCAGTTCAGAGCAGGCTATGACTCTTGGTGAAAGTAAAGAAGCTAATTTTCAGAACTTTATTGAGAAAGCTCTCAATTATCTGATTCTACTTAACTGAAGTTACCTTGACTGAATGTTTGTGATTGAACGGTTAAGTAGTCGCTGCTTGCTTTTATATATTTGTTTTTCTCAGAAAAATTAAGGTAATGATTTATTAATGAAACCTAGGATCTGTTTGCACAAATGGATATAATGACAAATACGATTCTCATTCTGTAAACAGGACTTCTTCTCACTTCATAGTATGTCATTCATTATGTACAATGTGCAATAAAAATACATGATCAAAGTGAAATAACCTCTGTGTAATGAACTTCTAGTTTATGTCAGTTTGTTATGTGGACTATCATATGTTCACCAGTGGCTTATGGATGCAAGTAAAGTTGGATTGGTATATATGACATGAGCCATACACTGTATGGAAATAAGGTCAGTGCTTCATGACTTGATATTTGAAATGGCTCTGAATATGTCTATTTTTAGCCTTACCTTATTGGCAAATGGAATACTTATGGTAGCATCAATTGGAGTGAATCCTTCAGATTGGGATAAACCAGGGAGGATAAATTAGAACCTTTGATTAATTTGGAGGTTAGATTGTGTTCTTTCTGTTCTTGCTAAAAGCAGTGGATTCAGTTTATATTTTCCTTTTGTGTGTGTGTGTGGGGGGGGGGGGGGGGGGGGGGGGTTGTGGATATAATTAAATTAAATTGTGTTTCTTTTTGTTTGATTTCTATAGATGAAGAACTGGAAAAGAAGGTACTTCCAGTTAGATGAAAACACAATAGGCTATTTTAAATCTGAACTGGTAAGTATCCAATTGTCCTTTTTGGATTAGCTTTACATTCTTGGAAAAATCATTTTCAAAACATACACTGTTTTAGTGTAGCTTTTATGTTGGAAACTCTGTTCAGCAATCTCCTTTGTCCTTCCTTATTTTCTTGTTGCTGTCCATAGAATCATAGAGCTGGAAGAGACCTCATGGGCCTTCCAGTCCAACCCCTTGCCAAGAAGCAGGAAAATTGCATTCAAAGCACCCCTGACAGATGACCATTCAGCCTCTGCTTAAAAGCCTCCATGTATTCTCTATTTCAAGTTGAGAATTACTGTTTTAGACACAGCTTTCCTAATCCAGTGTTTTAGCGTTGCATTATAATGTTATTTTGTAAAAATAAAAAATTGATTGAACTTTTAAATGTTATTTGAAGCTGATGGGGAGCAGAGAGATTGGGGAGTTGACCATTGTTCCTCATTCTCAGAACTGGATAGGTTGATTTAAATCCAGGTGATGTAAATAGTTTATGAGCAGATGGAAAGCTGTCCATAAACTACCAGTATGTTAATTAACAACTGACTATCTGCATATGGATTATTCTTGTATGCAGCCCCACCCTTTCAAAGCTGAAATGCCTGTAAAAGTAAGACTTAATAGTTTCAAGGCAGACTAGAACACCCGATTTTCACACGGTAAAAATGCCTGTAGATAATTTGATAAATAGATAAATTGAGATTGTAGATGATGTGAGAAATACATTTTATTTTTGGGTTCACTGAATATTCTTTGATGGAAAAGATGTTTAGGATTGCAACCTAACAAACTAAGAATTATCAAGTTGATATTTTTTAAATCTTTAAAATAAAAGATACTGTGGATTCTTTATGGCTTCAGTGTAAAATAGAAATAATCTTCCACTCAAACACAGACTATGGAGGTTCACTTTTATATATGGGGAAAAGATAGTAGCTGAAATTAGAATAGAAGCATATGTAGTAGCATATGCTGTTGAAAAATGGAACCGTTGTGACAGAAATACTTCTCAAATATGGTCATAATCTTACTGTATTTTCCACTTTTGTGTGTGTGTCAGGAGCGACTTGAACAATTGCAAGTCGCTTCTGGTGTGAAAGAATAGGCCATCTGCAAGGACGTTGCCCAGGGGATGCCCGGATGTTTTACCATCCTGTGGGAGGATTCTCTCATGTCCCCACATCAGAAGCTGGAGCTGACAGACAGGAGCCCACCCTGCTCCCCAGATTCGAACTGCCGACCTTTCAGTCAGCAGTCCTGCTGACACAAGGGTTTAACCCATTGCGCCACTGGGGCCTCCTGTTTTCCACTATGATTGTTCTGCATTCCTATCAATTATACTGGTGTTTAAGTCTCCAGGCGAACTTGTCATATATAAAGTCAGCATGAAATGTGCTTTTATGATATTGACTTTATATGAAGCAACAGCTCATGAAAGCATGCATTTTGTTCTTCTTCCAATAACCACATGATGGCGCATGATTCTGGTGTTAGAGATTGAATGAGGAATTCATACATGGTATTGGTTAAACTGGAAACAAACTGTGTGAACTTTCATACATTCCAACTAATGTGCTGTTTCAGCAATTAGATATTTTTTGTTGATGTTATGTTGCTCTGTGCTTTTAGCAACATATTGATAATTACATCCTATGCCAACATAATTGGCCTCACTGCTTCTTACAGCATTTTAGCCACATATCCTCACATATCCTGTCTTGGAACTTTAACATGAATCAACTTGAAATAGATATAATCCTTGAGTTGTCATAATGCCTCCCATAGTCAGAAGAAATGAGTTCTTTGTGTGCAATCAAATAGCAAATCATTTTTTTTTCTGTTTTTATATTAACAATGGGAATTGTGTTCTGTTCTGTTCTTCTCTCCTTTGCTTGTTTGGTGTTTATATGGAATAATTTCAAATTATCATTTAAAATTTTAAGTATACAGTCATTTATATGAAATTGATATGCACAGAAATCTCTTTTTCAAAATTAAAATAGTTATTATATTAAAACTGTACTTATATGGTATAATACTTTTAACATTACACAAACAACATAAATACAAATTAGCAGCATAGAAATATACATATCTACTTCTCTAACAAGTACAACCGCATATCTAGCTATATATGACATAAGTATTTATGTTTATTAATCAACGGAGAGGAAAATGTAGTAGAAAATATATAATTGCAATCTGGCAAGTGGGAAGTCATGCATGTGCACCTCAAATATGTATCCAGAACACTCTAGAAGCATGGGTTAGCAGTTGCTAGTCAGAACAGCATTTCTCTCAAGTTACCAAAAGTGCATATTGAATCAAAAGTCTGGATATTAAAAATAGAGGCCTGTGATGAAAATCTTTTTCCAATATTGTATCAGTTTTAATGTGTTTTGCATGCTTACCAATGTGAGAATGAAAATCATTCATAATTGTGGGGTCATGGAGCAGAAGGTGAAATGCAAGTAGACCAAGGATCTATGAATTGTAAGAGCACCATATAATAAAGTTATCATTTGCTGCTTCATGAGCACTGTTCTTCATTGTCAGTCTTAGTAAATGAAAAGCGATGAACTCTTTTTGCTCAGTAATTTGTTTGTTTATTTATTTTTTCCCATTTGCAATCGACGTAAAATGAAATTAACTGGAAGGTCATCTTATTAAAGGAGCCCCTGGTGGTGCAGCAAGTTAAACTGCTGACCTGCTGAACTTGCTGACCAAAAGATTGGTGGTTCAAATCCAGGGAGCAGGATCAGCTCCTGCTGTTAGCGCCAGCATCTGCCAACCTAGGTACCACTTTGGCGGAAAAGTAGCGGCATTCCATACAGTCATGCTAGCCACATGACTTTGGAGGGGTCTATGGACAACGCTGGCTCTTTGGCTTAGAAATGGAGATGAGCACCACCCCCCAGAGTAGGACATGACTAGACTTAATGTCAAGGGGAAACCTTTACCTTTACATCTTACGAAAGCCAACGAGTTTTGCTTCACTGGTTTGTACATGCTATTTTTAGTAATATCTTCCTTTGGGCTTGCCAATCAACAAACTTTTATAGGGCATTTCTTTTTGGATTGTAATAGTTCTGCTTACTTTTAAGAAATAACCCTGTAAATCTTCTGGGTTTTTTTCCAGGATAAGGAGCCTCTTCGGATTATACCACTGAAAGAGGTTAATAAAGTCCAGGAATGTAAACAAAGGTGAGAACTCTAAGATGAATAAATGTTAAGGTAAATATTCTGTTAGAACATGGAAACCTACTTACACATCATCTCTCACTGTGATGTAGTATTCTTTCTCCTTCCATGATACTAAAGCCAAACTCCTTTAAATGTGGGCTCTTTTAACTAGAAATAGCAGGATAAGTTGTGCTGGTAGTATATCATACCCAAAGGTTAAGTAAGGGCACATGTTAAAAGTCTTGGGAGAACAGATTGGTGGGATGTTATGAAAGGAAGTGCCACTAATTGAGGTAAATATACATATGCAAAATACAACTGAAAAGGCTGCTAGGTTTTTTTTATACCAATTTCTCCAGTGTGTATAAAAAAAGGGTGATTTCTATTATGACATTGTGAGAAATACATTTTTGAAATACCTTCTAAATGCTTTTTGTTCTTTTTGTTGTTGATAATATTGAATTTAAGAAAGAACACCTGGGTTAGTGGCCATATGTGTATGAGACAGTGTTTGAGGATGTGTAATGTGGAGTTAACAACATTGGATCATGATAGGATGATGGCACTTCAGTGGTATGACAAGTTGACTGTGCAGTTATCAAAAATGGCTTTAATTGATGTTTTATTTTGCTAAGAAGCTGCTCATAGTTCATGTTTGATCTGGACAGCTAGTTGGGTCATGACTGAAAAGATGTATTCTTTCTAAACATGCTGGAGGCAAGGCAGCTGATGATGCAGGCTTGTCTGTTTCCCTCTTGTACTATTCATCTATACTTAAAAAGTAGTCCTAGAGGCTGCTGCTGTTTTCCTTGCCTATTGTAGGTAGGAACACATGACTTTAATAGGATCATGTAGAATAGAATCTTGCTTGTTCCCAGTTCAAGCTTTGGTGATTGCAATGTTGGCTGTGGACATATTGCTACAATTCAACACTGAAAGTCAGAGTTTCTCCATCTTTCCTTCATAATGTTCTGGCAATCTTCTGACAAGAAGAGACAAACAAACTTCACATAGACAGAGGAGGAGGAATGGGAGAACCTGTATATGTGTAAAAAACCTTTTGTGAAGAGGAACTTGACACTCAGACTCTTTGTTAATTGAGGTATTCTGTACCTGTGTCCATTCATACAGAATGTTGTAACATAATTTATTTTGAGACCTCACTTATATGTGATGTTAGCCAGAAAATTCAAAGAAATTTGTCAAAGAAAATATACAGTATTGATTTTAAAGACTATTAAATAAATAAATGTTTTTGTTTGTTTTTCAGTGATATAATGATGAGAGACAATCTTTTTGAAATAGTAACAAGTTCTCGGACTTTTTATGTACAGGTAACTTTTTATGCAAAACACTTTCGATAGGAAAGTAAATTTCTTTTGAATGTTTGGTAGTATAGAACTCTACATTTAAACAGAACATAAGTATTTAAAACATGATGTAGACCAGTGGTTCTCAACCTGTGGGTTCCCAGAGGTTTTGACCTTCAACTCCCAAAAATCCTAACAGCTGTAAACTGGCTGGGATTTCTGGGAGTTGTAGGCCAAAACACCTGGGGACCCACAGATTGAGAACCACTGATGTAGACATATCACCAATTCAAGTGACCTTTAGTCAATCTTCCAACTCCAGTAAGCAGTCATTTCTTTGATTGCTATTTTTGTACATTGACTTGAAGGCAAACCAAATAAACATAGTAGAACTTATTTCTGAGTAAACCTGTATAGGATTACACTGCTGGAAAGATTTGTAAACATTTCAGTTATTTTTATCACGTGCAGCTTGTTTTGACTATGGCAGACTAGAAGGTCAGAATCCTACTAGGACTTTAGGATTAGTTGTAACAGACTCAATCTTCAATTTTCTTTTCTTCAAGTGAAATAATCTACTTGTCTCCTGTCTTTTCAGTGTTTTGTATTTGTCTGATAATTTTAGTTGTTTTTCATAAGCTTTCTAGCTTATTTTCCTTTCTTGAATTGTATTACACCAGACACTGCACTGAATAGAACTGAAGCTTTTATTGTTTTTACTGGTGCAAATCAGTAGAGTATCTGCTTTCTTTGAAAATTTATCAAGAGCCACAGCCTGGCTCTTTGATAGATTTTATCAGTTAGGACAAACCCATCACTTCTGGCTGTACAGATAATTCTTAAATATTCATTGCTTCATGTGATGCTTGTAACCACAAAAGAATAAAACAGATTACAGAAAACAAAGTTGAGGATTGAACCGATCTTGCTCTGAGCTCTGTGTCCTGTGCGCTCTATCTCTTTTATGTTGAGTCAGTTCTTGGCACATCTTTCTTCAGGCTGTGCCTTCTCCTTGGATTACAAAAGTATTGTCCTATCTTCACCCCCAATTCTCTTTAGAAACTTTCAATGGGTCCATATTTGTTGATATGGTTACAATGCCTTCGCTGAAGTATCATGGTGCCAAGCGATATTCACTTTCATTCTTTATTTTGGCCAATTAATTCAGAAACTGAGAAATTTGAATTGTGATTCTGGCTTCAAAACGAAATGTCCAGTCAAGTTAGATACATGGTGGAAGCTTGAGTTATTCTATTTGTCGAACCATTTTGTTATTGTATCAGCAGCTAATCTTTTCCAGGTAATGTAGAAACTCTGAAAATGGCAATTGTCACATTCTGAAAGTGCTGCTCTTGCTTTAAATCAAGTATTTAGGCTAGAATCCAGCTGGGGAGGTATGGATACATAAATTATGGTGTTATGCAATGACTCTCCCAACCCACCATCCAAATTTACTAGGCAGCGGCAGCTGCAATCAACAGGGGTTTCTTCCCCTGTTGATTGGGGAAAAGCTGTTATTCCCATCCCCTTTCATGAACAATCTCCCATATAACAAGCAGAAGTAGGGGCCTTGTTGCAATTCTCCACCATGCTAGAGGTTGCTTGTGCTTTATGAAAGACAAGGAAACAGATCCCAATAGATTGCAGTGGCTGCTGTTCAGTACGTGGGAATTCGATATTTTCATGGGCCTTATGTATCATCTAGGCTACACAAAGATCATGAATGCGAAACGATCACAAGTGTATATCTTTAAGTAAAGGAGTCTGAATAGGATTTCACTCAATGCATACAATCCAGCCTTTTGGAAAAGCAAATAAATAATTTTAAAAATCTGCACTTTCCTTTTTGAGAAATAGGAAAGGCCCTTAATGAATTTTCACATTTTAAAACCTTACAGTTTATCAGTATGTCTCTAAACTGACACAATATTGTTGTTTTTCATATCATTCCAGGCAGATAGCCCTGAAGACATGCACAGCTGGATCAAAGCAATTTCTGGTGCAATAGTAGCACAGCGGGGTCCCGGAAGATCAGCAGCTTCTGTATGTTTTTAGCAAAGTTTAAATCATAGTGTTTTGACAATGATGAGTTCTTTATGTTTGACATTATTTAGTCTGTCTGCTTTTCTAGTCAATCCTAAATTTGGAGTAACATCTTTGTGTGCAATAGAGGTTGCAGTGCACCTTGCATTTTTATGTAGCTGCTAATCTTAGTCTTAGCCCTATATGTTGCCAGTCTGCATTGCATTGTCCTAATTTTCAGAAAGTACAACTGGTGGATTTGAGAATTATTTACTTTTTTTTATTAATCTGAATTACCATAGAGCCTGTTAAATTATTTGACCATTTTGGCTAAACTTTTTACCTGAAAGATCAGCACAACTCTTTTGGCTCACCTTCTTTTTAGCAGAGAACCAGAGTAATTGTAGTGATGGTTTTAGTGTAGTATTTAGGGAACCTAATTCTAAGTATTATTGTTGGTAGACAGCTAAGATAGGAATTCTACAGTTACCAAGTTGACATCTGAATCCTGTTGTCTGTCCCAGCTAGAGTAGGCCCCATTGAACAGATGGCGTTTTATAGATGTTGATGTAGCTTCTCTGCAGGCCTAAGTGTTTACTGTAATGACAGATGTCAATAGCCCTGTAGCAGAAGTATCCAGTAGAAAGCAAATTTAGAATTTCTCAACATAGTATTGCATGCTGTAATTTGTGGCATTGTAGTGTATAATTTTCTAACAATGATTTGTGATTCATGTTTTGCAGGATATTTTTTTTAATATATCCGAAATTTTAATTTTTCTGTATTAGAGGCATAGTCTTAATAAGACTGATTGTTTTGCTAAAACAGTTTACTCTTCACTTCATTTTGCAAGGAAATCACAGCAGATTCACTAAGTTGCCACCACACAGTTGAGGCTCTGTTTGGGAATAAATGTTTTCTGGGTGAGAGAAGCTTATCAAGAAGGGATTTTCCTATGTGTGTGTGTCTCCTTGCGTATAATCTTTCTGATTACTCTGCTAGTGACTGTCTGAAGTATTTGTTTTCCCTTCTCAGACTCTGTCTCTCTTTCCCTCCTCTTTTTAAGTTTAGGTTACTCTAATCTTAGCTTTGCACTGTGTTCCAGATGCGGCAGGCCAGAAGGCTGTCGAATCCTTGTATACAGAGGTATACATCAAGAACTGGTGAATGCAGCATGTATGTGGGCTCTCATGTAAACTTGCCACCTTAACCGAGAGCTGAAATTTAAAAGCCTTTATTAACACAATGCAAGATAATGAGGTCAATCTTGTGGTTTCTTCTGTTGATTACAATCACTGTGGAATTACTCAATTCCAGAATAATTCTCATTGGCCATCAGGTTTGCTCTATTTAAATGTTTCCTTCTAAATAAGATACACTACGAATGGTAACATACTCATAGTGCTAAAATTTCTATTCATATTTCCAGTGTGCTTATTTTACTGAATACAAAAGCTTTAGTAGTAAACATCTATGTAAATAGAACCTAAACTTGGCCTGATTTTGCATGAGAGTTCATATTTCCATTTTATCATTTTTGAAACACAGCTAACTAAAAGCTTGTGAGATCCTAATAGCTGGTATGTGTGCATGTAAAGTGTGCACACTAAGGAAAATATCCTGGACTGATTTGCATGGCTTTCATTATAGATATGCATGGTATGGTTAGACAAGATGTAGGGTCTGTTACAGCTTGCAATCTGTTTGTTAAAAAAATAATACAACGAATATTACTTTTTTACTGTTCAAATGGCTAGGCATAGCAAAATGTATACCTTGTTACACAAGTGTTGATCACAACATGTACTATTTGTCCTACTGCTGGTCCCACTTGGGCTTTGATCAAAACTTTATCAAAATGCTTACATAGTATTCACTTTAGAAAAGAAGCTTTTTATAGATTCAGTTTTTGTATTTAAAATTTATTCACTTCTGTTTGGAATTCAATCTTTTTTTGCATTTTAGCACACTTGTTTTTTGGGCAGGTTACCACTCCAAAATGAATCTGACGTGCTTTAGCTTCTTTCCTTCTTCCTTAAATGATTCTTGTGTTTATTACTTGTGGCTTAGCTCTAAATATACTACTGATCATTGTAGTGTCTTCTGAGAAGTCATATAAAACAGCTCTATAGAGGATATATTTTGCAGTAATAATTTTCAGCAATCGTTTGTATTGTAGAAAATTGCCATATTATAGTTACAATCCAAGCTTTGCAAATTGTAGGGCTCCATTCATTAAATTAGCTTTATAGCAGTTGCCACAAGAGAGTCTAATTTTACCTTGTAGTAGAAGTTAATGTAATGAAATTGCTTCTCCTACAAGATATTTGACATCCTGGCATGATTTGTTGTAACAGTCCTTGAGCATTGGTGCTTGTACAAACATTGGAGCATAATACTGTAGAAGGCAACAACTTCAACATCAATGTGTATTGTTGAGGTAATATTCTGGAAAAGGCATTTCATCATTTTCAAAGGAAGAGAATGAATGTTTTGGGAATAAGAAATTGGAATAGGGAAGCAATATGATATAGCCCCTCATTGGAGATGGTGTGGCATTATGGACAGTGGAATAAGATTCTGGAGATTTTTCAAGTCCTCATTCAACCATGAAAACCTACTGGGTGAGCTTGGGGAAGTTATACTTACTCAGCTTCAATATAAGCCAAAGGCAGCCTTTCCTCACTTGAACAAATTTTGGCAAGAAAGCCATATGATAGCATTACTAAAAGTTGGAAATGACTTGGGAGACATACAACAATAATTCCCTCATCGGAAAGATCCCAGTTGTACCTTACTGTGATGTCCTGATGGCATGGAATTGCTATCTTGTCATGATACAGGGTCAGTTGTGGATAGTGCTAGGCATTCTGATTCCTGATTTTGTTTTCAGATCCACATTAAGAAAGGTCTTTCAATACTCAAGAGTTGTTGGATAAAACTGAATTGAATAAAATTGACTGACACTGTGAAACAGCTTAGCAAATTCAAGCCTTGATTATATTTGATAACCTTTTGGCTGATTTGCTGTGGCAATGCTGCCGATGTTGTTTCACAGATGTCTTAAAGCAGGGATAGTCAGGAATAAAGGCCACCTTTGCATCGGTTTTTCAGCTGAAAACTCTACTTCTCGTTCATACTCCAAGATGTTTTTGCCACACACACAATAAAAGGGAATTCTAGGGGACCTGGGCTGGGAAAGAGTATTTAGAGAGGAAACATAATTCCAAATGGAGTGCATTTTGTATTTTCAAGTGATTTTGATATGTATAAATTTTTGTAACAAATGAAGTCTGAGAAGTTGGAGAGGCAGCAAAAATATGGTTGTAGCCACAAGTAGCTGTACTTTCTACTCCTGTCCGAAAGCATACTTTTTGAACAGAATTTGGCTGAGGATTTAATGTTGAATAATTGTGTTTAGTAGGATGTACAATTTATAGTTTAGCATTTGAAAGAATGTTATCTCTGTAGAAGGTAATAAGCACATTTATGTTATTGGGTAAACCAAGGATATAAAGAACTCAGGTTTCTTGTAGAAACGCTGCATAATAGTGAGAATTGCAAATGGAAGCTGCTAAACAAAGTACAGAAATTTGCTTCTTGGGATTTTTAAAATTATGATATGTGGACCTTGACCACTTTGGATTCTTTCTCCTTCAAGTGACTAAAAATACAAATATGTTACAAATGGGAATAGTCAAGCAGGATACACCAGCAAGCTGCTTGTCCTTGATAATGTTATGCAAATGTAGGCTAGTTAAGGATATGCTTAGGTTATAAATCTATTCTTGTTAAACTCAAGAACAATACCTTTAAAATGTAGAAGTTCACACATTAGATCTCTTGTATTCAGAAAATACAGTCTAAGGAATTAAGGTATGATGCACAGTGGTTCAGTTTACCAAGACAGCAATAGGTATATAATCAACAAAAAAGGAAAATACATTAAGTTTGGTAATTCAGCAAATATTGAGGGATTCTATTGTGCTTCTTTTTTGAATGTGAATACACTTTGCCTGCACTTTTGGGACTAGTTTCTGGAATTGTTTTTGAGTAAACAAACATTTTTCTGCGCAGTTGCAGATTTTTAAACTATGTCTTCCATAATGTCTCCGTGCAAAATAAATTTACTTATTGAATTAAAAGTCAGGTTATGCTAATAAACTTCAAACAATGCCATGCTAAACTTTATGGATTTTACTTGGCTGCTTCAGTCTGTCATCACATAGTGCTGTAAATTCACGGTCTTAACATTGTGCTGGGTTGGACCAACATCTGCTTTATGCTGTTAGGCTTTGCTTTTCCCTTTTGATTTTTGTTTTGTTTTGTTTTGCAGTGATACAAGTCTGACATGAGTTGTTAACATTCAGTAAATGACCCATTGCATCTGACAAGCCCTTCTCCTTTGCAGGAGCATTCCAACTATACTTCCGAATCCAGCTGTTCTGCAGAAACAGCCACAGCAACCTCACATTCCACAACCACTCACAGCAACTCCAGTATGGTCCAAAACCTTAACAGCAAGCCCCCCGACATGGAGAAGCGACGATTTCACGAATCTTTTACGAAGGCCAAACCAGGGAGCATCAAGATCCAGGCTTTCTCTTCAGGAGACCCAGCTTCCAAAGTGACTGTACAGGGCCTGGTGGAACCTCAGAATAAAAATGGCACTCAGGAACAGGATCCAGGCCCAGTGGATCTGGATGATGCAAGCCTTCCAGTCAGTGATGTGTAATAATGGAAGAATTTGGGGGAAATGATGCATTTGTTTTTGGTCCTTGAATTTCCTTGCTCAGACTTTAGCCAAAGATGACTGTGGGATGAAAGAATAAACAATGGGATGTTGCTTATGTAGACCTGTATGTGTGCATACATTCAACTCTGTGTATGTTTTGATAGTCATATAATGCCTTCCACTGATTATCAGAGCAGGCCTTTTGCTTTCTCTGCAGCCAGAAGACAAATCTTTAACAAACAGGGGCCAAGATTAACAAAATAAATGTTGGTGATAAGCAAGGTGCCAGCTGATCTTAATTCAGTTTTGCAAAATTGAGTAGCATCTTAAAGATATAATAAAAGAAATGTCATCCTATGACTAAATTATATGTGATATGTAATTTAATTCTGTAAATCAGGCTGATGTGCAAATTGGCATTTTCCCCTAAAAATATCAGCTGAGCCGTTCAGGCTTCTAAATAGATGGGGGATGCAGCCTCTGTTTTTACAGGATCACAGAAACGTAGTGTATCTGTTGGTGACCTAATGCACTTTTCCTATGCAAAGAGAGGTTTTATAAAAAGCAAGCAAACTGTTGCTGCAGTGTCTGAAATGAGGAGTGTTTTTCTTGTAGTCAATACGCAGATTTACGAGCCACTATATAATCTGCGTGTGTAGTTGCAAAATGACAGAGGGGTTTGCTGCATTTCAGACATTACAGACAATATATGTTAATTTACATGAAGTGCGTATCTCTATGTGTGAGAAAAGAATCCCTAAAGATCACTTGACACTGACAGAAATGTGTTGACTTAATTGGGACTCTTTCGTAGTTGCTCTGTAAATCACTGCCCTTTTTCTAGAGAGTCCAACTCCTTTAGAATTCCCAGTATTTGGTGCTGTGAAACTTACATAAGAGTAATACAGCTATTTTGAATATTAAGCCTATTTTTGATGCACTCCTTAAAAGTGAATTGTAACTTTTGCACATTTGGATATTAATGGACCACCAATAAATAAGGATGTTATATGGATTTTTTTTAAGTAGGGAGAAGGGAAACTGGACTACTAAATCTTCTAAAGGTTTGTCTAAAAGTATTTTATATTAGGCTTTGAAAAAAAATTAAATGCTTAAAACTATTGTCTAAGTTTTTTTCTTTTGTGTGATCCTTTTTTTCCCAGTGTGTTGTAAATGATTTCCATTTTATAGTTGAATCATTAAAAACTGAACAAAATTGTTTCATTCTGTTAAGAGGTACTGAATGTTCAGTAATGCAATTGTGGCCTGTAACTTTTGCTGCACTAAATTTATTAAAAGTGCCTGTGGGTTCTTTCTTCATGATGTGTTAAATGTTTGGGGGTTAGATAGATAATGAATTTTGCTTTTTTGGTTTTGAACCTTAAAGTGAATTTGCTTTTCATCGTGTAGTTCAGCATATTTATCAGCAGGTAAACTGGATATCTCCTTGGGGGTTTTGGTGATCAAAGGATATGTGAAGCTGATGTTGGAATGCATGATCAGAATGAGCATTCACTATTTGTTCGGTTGTGAAAATGTTTGCTTTAATCAAAAACCCCAAATTTTTACACAATGCTGCTTTATGCAATTTAGATTTTCCAGCTTTTAGTACTCAAATTAATTAAAATCTTGTGTTTGTAATACTTGACAAACAGGAAACAAAAGAAATGTATGAGAAATCTGAGTGAAAATTAGTAACACAAACAGCAAATGGGTTATGTTGTATTGATGTAAATTTCTTTTTTAAAAAAAGTAATAATTTAGAAAGGAAATTGTGTGAGATGTTATTTTAGCCTTATTCAAAACTGTGGCCTGTTGTCATATTCATGTTATTTCCATAGTGGCGAAGGTTTCCTCCCCTGCTTTCTATACCATCTCAGTGAGAGGGCTCTTTCCACATATTCAAGATGCTGCTGACATTCAGCCGTCCCAGCTCTAAAACCTCATTGGCAGAAAGCAGTGGTTCAAGGGCCACTAGAATTTCGTTGGTTTTATGGGCACTGGGCTTTGATTGTGTAGGCTATCAACTTAAAGCAACAGCTAGAATTATTTTCAAAATAAACAATAATTCATCAGATTGCCGTCCTAATTGCTTAAACTTGCTCAGAATTGGACAGTCTATTTTTTCTAGAGCAAGCACTGCAGGAATGTTAACCTCCATGCCATTTAATGGCTTCAGGGAAATTCTTTCACTACATCTAATGTCTAGCAGGCATCTCCTTTGAATGCAATATATAGAGAGATAAAGAAGTAGAGTAACACTTGTGAGCCAGCTCCTGTCTTCACATAGAAACCCAACTTCCAGCTTACTCAAGGTTCTCATCATCATAATCTTACTGGTTTGTTTATTAAGGCTTCAGATGTAGGCAGATTCCTCATTTTGTCCTAACTGCCCAGCTAATTCAAAGGTGAAAAACATATGGACTCTCCAGGTTTTCCCATCAGCCAGCATAGCCAATGGCAATAGATGATGGGTATGAAGTCTAATAATAATCTGGAGAGCTAGGCATTCCCTCCACCTGAGCCAAAAAGTTTCTGAAGTGCAGCAATATCTTTACCGAAAAAATATTTTCATCTACAGTGGTTCTCAACCTGTGGATCTCCAGATTTTTTGACCTTCAACTCCCAGAAATCCTAACAGCTGGTAAACTGGCTAGGATCATAGAATCATTGAATTGGAAGAGATCTCGTGGGCCATCCAGTCCAACCCCCTGCCAAGAAGCAGGAAAATTGAATTCAGAGCACCCCCGACATGTGGCCATCCAGCCTCTGCTTAAAAGCCTTCAAAGAAGGAACCTCCACCACACTTTGGGGCAGAGAGTTCCACTGTTGAACAGCTCTCACAGTTAGGAAGTTCTTCCTTTTGGGAGTTGTAGGCCAAAACACCTGGGAACCCACAGGTTGATAACCACTGATCTAAGGCTACGTCGACACAAAGGTGCTGCTGATATTTAATAGGGGGGGACTTGTTCTGTGCCTGAGCTTGTAAAATATTACCCTCCAGTTTTCTTTTTCCGTTTTACTTGCAGAATTATGACAAAGAGCTGCAAGTGTTTTACCTTCTTGGTATAGACTTATTCTTGCTTTTTCTTAGACCATTGACCTCTTTTGTTAATTATGTTTTATTTTTTGTGAATTTCTACCATTTTTGCCCATATAACTGCTCATTTTGTCTTCTAGCATGCTAGAAATTTGGATCATAGATTTCCACCATCGGAATAGTGAACCTTTATTTCATTAAACTTTTACCTTTTCTTTACTTTCCAGAATTTATTTATTTACTGAAAAGCAATGGGTGCAAATTCAACATGCTGATGAAGAAAAAACAGTATCTTGGGAAAGGGAACGAATTTGTATACAAAAATAAATACATTTTTGGTCTTTCACGAGTCAAAATTGAAATAGAAAAAGAATGTTAGTATGGACAAAGCCTGAAGATAGAGCAGTACAATGCCAAACTGTCATGATCCTGTTTCAGATTGATTCAGTATAGCAGCACCTTTACATTTCTTAACCATAAGCTAAACATTTACAAGCAGTGTTTGTAAATTACACTTATTTGCCTTCTCAGTTAATTGTGATCTAATAGGTTGAATGTTATGATAAGTCTAGTTTAGTACAATATATTTTAACTTGTAACAAACTTAGCCAATAGGTATATGAAACCTTATTTTTCATAAATATGTACTTTGTGGGAGAAACAGAATTGGAATGTTTGTATTGCCATACCTTGATGATGTAGTATTAAAGTTCTTGGTTCTGGTACAGTTTCCACACACTGCATGTTAATCTTGTTTTGATATTGCCAGTTTTCAATAATGAATCAGAAACAAAGCAGTGCCCTTTATGAGTTAAAATCAAAATTCTTAGTTGAATAGTGTGGAAAATGTTTGTGGTTGATAAATTGTCAGGGTCTCTTATTTATCAGTACATTTTTATATAAAATGGATGAAAATTGTTAAATTATTTTAGAACCTGTGGTGTTTTCTGTAAATGTCACATTTGTTAATAAATTGACTTCTATGACAAAACATAAGAATCCTATCAGACTACTACATTTAGTGCACCTCAAAAGATAGTGTTTAGAGTCAAAAATGTTTTTGCATACCATATTTTGTTCTTCCCTCTTGGATTCACAGAAACCGAAATGACGTTTCTTAAAAAATAAACAGAAATAGTCCTGTGAAAACTTTGTTGTCTTTAGTCCAATGATCCTTTCATACTACCAATCTTTTAAATGGACAGGGGGCCCACAGGTGACACAAATATAATATAGAATAATGCACAGATTTGTATAATAACCCTAATTAATAAGGTCGATCTATTCAAACAATACTTGTCTTCCTCACTATTCTGTATAATGAAATGGATAAAGACAGAAACTGAGAATGGATCAACAACCCTGAGATGAATCAATTGGGATCCAATAGTGGAAAGGGGAGAGTAATGATCCAGGAACTGAAAGATCTGAGCTATGCTTATATATATCCTGAGGCTTCAAATTAATGCTTAGAGCAGAAACAAGTTGTGATACTTTAAATATTAGCAAAGAAAGAGGTATTATCACTGGTGAAAGGAGGGCCCGATAATGCAAAATCTACATGGGATGAAAACTTATTTTTGTTTACGACAAACAGTAGCTGGATAGTTGCAAACTTCCTTGCATTGATGAGTTGATTAATTCAAGAAGACTGTAAAAACTTTGTTCCTACTACAGTCAAACTAGATAAGAATTAGTAAATTGATTCACTCAGCAGGAAGATTGGATTTAGAAAGAATGGTTTGATATTGCATGATGATAGGAAGACAGACAAAGGGAAACTAACAGAAGAGAGAGACTAAATTGCAAGTGTAGAAAAGCAAGAAATTTATCCCACTCTTCTGAATTCAGAAATTAAATTTAGATGTTTGTGTGTATTTGCCTTCAAATTGCCTATTTTATAGGATTTTCTGATGCAAGGAGTAGAGATGGTTTTGCTGATTCCTTCCTCTGAAATATAACTCCACAACTGGTATCCATTGGTTGCCTCCACTTGAAGAACTGATCCTGCTTAGCTTTCAAGATCTGATTGGATCTCGTTCCTGTACAGTATTTAGGCTCCTAATATGAGAGCTACGGAAGGAATCACAACCCTGGGGCAATGGTGCAGAATTAGGAAGGAGTGGTTCAGTTAGAAGAAAGGTAGATATAGAAATGGGAGTCAAACACAAGTTTCTGATTTTATTACAGATAGAATGTGGGAAGTAGGTTTCACGTCAATGTTTCAGAGTTTAAAGCAAGAATGAGCAACTTCAGACCTTTCCGATGTTGCAGTGCATTTTCCAGCAACCCTAGTCAGCATAGGTGAGGGATGTCAGTTGCCGTCTCCTGATGTAAAGATAACAAATTGCGCTGGGAGTTTTGGAGAAAAGGCAGAACACAGTTCTGGTGTAAGAAATAGGAACCAGAGAGCTGAAAATAGTGGGATCTAGCTGGAGATCTATTGGAATGGTTAAAGGTTACTATTTTAGACCAACTCATTTCTTCATGGGACTCAAGAAAAGGGAGAGGTGCATAAGACTTCAATTTCCCTATCCCTCTTTTTGTTGTGGAGTTTGGGTTTGAAACAGAATTATCTCTTGGCTTTCAAAGACCAGAATGCGCAAAGATTTTTGCAAGATTTTACTTGGGAAAAATAATTGTGTTTTGTTCCTTTATATATTGTGGGATATAGAGCTATGTAGAGCCCTTCTACACAGCTCTATATCCCACAATATCAAGGCAGGAAATGCCACATTTTCTGTGGACTCAGACAACCCAGTTCAAAGCAGATATTGTGGGATTTTCTGCCTTGATATTCTGAGATAGAGGGTTGTGTGGAAGGGCCCTTAATTTCCAGAGCCAAAGGCTACATTTTCATGCCCCCAGCCTGATTTAACAATTGGGGAAAAACAAGGGTGAGTCAAAGATTGTCCTTGATTGCTCACCAAAGCTTACATTTTGGCTGCTGATTGGTTTAAGGTATGATAGACTGGTTGTGAATTGAATTCCCCTTTTTAAAGAAGGTCAACATTTGCATAGTGCTGAAAACATGTTCCTGATGACCAACATTGTGTCCTGTCCAGGAGGCAATATTTAGTAGTAAAAAGCTTTGAATAGATCTAATTCCCCACTCAGCAGTAAAATTTATTGATTTGCCTCATAGTTTTAAGAGATAGTGTGGAAAAATGTTTCCCTTTGTGGGTTTTAATGGTAGTGTGGAGTCATGACTGAGTTCACAAAGGGAAGACTCTTTGTAAGTAAGCAGAAGCCTCCATGTGTTGTTTGAAAATGTGGGCTTGGGTGTCAGGAAGGTACCCTTTTATCTACTGCCTGATAACAGCAAGCCAGTTCAGTTCTTGCCCTTTTCTTTTCTGATGACTGTAAATGTATTAAGACAGCACAAGGAGGCATTTTTAGGACAAAGAGATTGCTTTTCCTCGTCCCAGAAATTTGAAACTTGCCAGAAAATCAGTGTTTAGGACAGAATGCGCTGACTTCACTGCCAGCGCAGCAGTGACCTTATGCTGCACAAATGTTTCAATTTGGGAATGCAAGAGAAAATTATGGCAACAAATGCAAAGATTCTGCTAAAGTTAACATTGAACAGGCAGAGTTTTAACAAGCCAACCCCAAGCTATGTTCCTAAAGCAAATATGTTGCCATTTTATAATGTCTAGAAGGCACCAGACTGTCTGATCTTGGCAGCTAAGCAGGTTCAGCCCTGATTTGTAGTTTGATGGGAGACTGCCAACAAATGCCAGGTGCTGAAGCCTATATTTCAGAGAAAGGAACTGGCAAAATCACCTTGAATATGTTTTGTGTAAGAATAACTCATGAAATTCATGGGGCCATCATAAATCAACATGCAACTTGAAGGTGCATATACACAATGTAAGTAACTTTGTGAGGAGTAAGTGTGTGACTGTACTTGTGAACAGGACAAAGTCAAGGTGCCATTCTGGTTATGCTTACAGGATTGTGATGCTTGGGTTCAAAGTATTGCCCACTCCACTATAATAATGCCTCTGAGGCAAATATGATACTTATTTCCAGAGATACACAATACTTCTTCCTATGATATTTGCTTTAAACAAGGGACAATTTTAGTGGCTTCAAAAACAACTCTAGCCACCACAACCTAGGAGTTCCCTCAAATACTTGTTACCCGTGCCCTCTGTGGACATGGTACAGCATCTATCCCATTTGGGATAGATACTGCTAGGGCTGCGGACTGCTAGGGCTGTTGTGAGCTGAGGGGTCGCTCCTCAAGTGGCAGTCGAGGGGCATTTACAGAAGCGCCTCTGCGCCCCTGGCAAAAAAAAGTGTTCTGCGACTGCTTACTTCGCGTAATGGACGAGCCGCCCCTGGTGGTCAGTGCTCTTTAGTTTTTACCCAGTTTGGGTTCCCAGATGTTACTAAATGACAATTCCCATTGCTTTATCTGCCATGCGGACTGAAGGTAATGGGAGTGGCACGGGGGGACGGGGCTTTATCTATATAAATAAAAATCTATTGTTCATTTGTGGGATTAACATAACTCAACAACCACTGGATGAATTGACACCAAATTTGGATACAATGTACCTATCAGGCCAACAAGTGACTATCACTCATAAAAACACTAAAAAACACCGCAGAAGAACGTTGAAAGCCCTCAGATAAAAAATACATTACAACGCATGTGCAAAACCACAGATATATGCAAACAGACACATATATACACACAAAACACATATACAATGCGTGGCAGGGGACGGCTACTATAACATACAATTGTTATATTATTACAGTAGAGTCTCCTTTATCCAACATATAAATGACTGCTTCAACCAGAGAAGTCAGCCATAGCAGAGCACCTGATGAACCAACCTGGACGCAGCATTTTATTTGAGAACACAGAAGTGCTGGACCACTCTCACAACCACCATGTCAGACTACACAGAGAAGCCATTGAAATCCACAACAATGTGGACAATTTCAACAGAAAGGAAGAAACCATGAAAATGAACAAAATCTGGCTAGTATTAAAAACTCTAAAATTACAACAGCACAACAACAGAGAGGAAACAAACAAGGACATCTAATCACCTCTCAACAAAAGTTTGCTCTAGGCAATGTCAGGCCATTTGTTCTGGAACGGGTGTTCCAGGGGCTCCAATTTTGTGTTTTGCACTGAGTGTTTGTTCATAGTCCTAAGTTGCAGGGACTTTGCAGATAGGTGGCTTCCTTTGGCTGCATTCATAGGGCAAGCCACCTGTCAATAATAGTTAGGATCCCTGGTCCCGCCCCTCTCTGGGTTTTTTTGGAGGGAAGGGGCCATTTTTCAGTCAGTCACACAAGGAAGCCAGTCTATAGGACGCAGATCAGCTAGTCCCGTAGGAAAAGGCTTCATTCCTCAAAGCCATTCGGGGAAATAGAAACAGACCATCCGGGGTCCAAACTGACTATCCAGTTCCAGGGAAACGGAAGGAAAAGGTCTCAAAGGCTCTGGCTGAGAGCTCACAGCCTCTCAGCACCAGAGGGGGAAAACAGCCCTGAAGTTTCCACAGGACAGCATTACAGAACAACGGAACTCCAGCTGCTATATCTTCAAGCCTCAGCCGGTAAGGTCTGCTCGATACCCAGACGCACATGGATTTCAGTAGCAGCACCCACGCCGACTAGGCATAGATAGAAAGCGGCCTGGGAGGGATTATAAAGAGTACTTCCTTATGCTGAGATAGTACAGTCAAACCAAGTTAGTGCCAGTCTCTTAAAGACTTGAATAGTAAAGCCTTGAAGTTGTTTGAAGATTTGTTCCTTAATAAAGACTTTGTTGTACTTTTAAAGACTCTAAAGCCCATTACTTCTGGAAGTCTCTAACAATCTCTCTTCGGGCACCCCGGCTTCCCACTGGGTTTAAAGTGTGCATCCTGTAGAAGAAAAAGACATTTTGTTCGGACCCAGTGGCGACAGAACACCATTATATGCTAATCAAGGTGGTCAGTTGAAACATTCACACCTAGCTCCAGCAGACAAGAGCCCTTTGTCTCACCCTGGTCATTCCACAGATATATAAACCCTTTTTCCTAGTTCCAACAGACCTCACTACCTCTGAGGATGCTTGCCATAGATGCAGGCGAAACGTCAGGAGAGAATGCCTCTAGACCATGGCCATATAGCCCGAAAAAAAACTACAACAACCCATGTATAAATACATGAGAGGAAGCCACAGGGAGGAGGGAGCAAGCTTGTTTTCTGCTTCCTTGGAGTCTAGGACGTGGAACAATGGCTTCAAACTACAAGAAAGGAGATTCCATCTGAACATGAGGAAGAACTTCCTGACTGTGAGAGCTGTTCAGCAGTGGAACTCTCTGCCCTGGAGTGTGGTGGAGGCTCCTTCTTTGGAGGCTTTTAAGCAGAGGCTGGAGGGCCATCTGTCAGGGGTGATTTGAATGCAATATTCCTGCTTCTTGGCAGGGGGTTGGACTGGATGGCCCATGAGGTCTCTTCCAACTCTGATTCTATGATTCTATGATTCTGTAGGCTGGATGGCCATCTGTCAGGAGGTGCTTCGAATGCAATATTCCTGCTTCTTGGCAGGGGGTTGGACTGGATGGCCCATGAGGTCTCTTCCAACTCTTTGATTCTCTGATTCTAGAGGCTGGATGGCCATCTGTCAGGGGTGATTTGAATGCAATATTCCTGCTTCTTGGCAGGGGGTTGGACTGGATGGCCCAGGAGGTCTCTTCCAACTCTTTGATTCTATGATTCTAGAGGCTGGATGGCCATCTGTCAGGGGTGATTTGAATGCAATATTCCTGCCTCTTGGCAGGGGGTTGGACTGGATGGCCCATGAGGTCTCTTCCAACTCTTTGATTCTCTGATTCTAGAGGCTGGATGGCCATCTGTCAGGGGTGCTTTGAATGCAATATTCCTGCTTCTTGGCAGGGGGTTGGACTGGATGGCCCATGAGGTCTCTTCCAACTCTTTGATTCTCTGATTCTAGAGGCTGGATGGCCATCTGTCAGGGGTGCTTTGAATGCAATATTCCTGCTTCTTGGCAGGGGGTTGGACTGGATGGCCCAGGAGGTCTCTTCCAACTCTTTGATTCTATGATTCTAGAGGCTGGATGGCCATCTGTCAGGGGTGATTTGAATGCAATATTCCTGCCTCTTGGCAGGGGGTTGGACTGGATGGCCCATGAGGTCTCTTCCAACTCTTTGATTCTCTGATTCTAGAGGCTGGATGGCCATCTGTCAGGGGTGCTTTGAATGCAATATTCCTGCTTCTTGGCAGGGGGTTGGACTGGATGGCCCATGAGGTCTCTTCCAACTCTTTGATTCTCTGATTCTCTGATTCCAGAGGCCGGATGGCCATCTGTCAGGGGTGCTTTGAATGCAGTATTCCTGCTTCTTGGCAGGGGGTTGGACTGGATGGCCCAGGAGGTCTCTTCCAACTCTTTGATTCTCTGATTCTAGAGGCTGGATGTCCATCTGTCAGGGGTGATTTGAATGCAATATTTGAATGAATCCACTTCAAATCTGCAGAATTCTGGGGTTTGTAGTTTAGGGAGAAGCCTTTAACAGCCTCCCTAAACTACAAACCCCCGACTCCTGCAGGAGGCAGAAACCGGATTGGAAGTGGATTCCTTTTCTAGTGTGATGAAGGGAAACGTGTGAGCGCCTTCCGAAGGAGAGCGTGCCAACAACAGGAAAAAGAAGGCGCTGATCCTGTCTGGGAAGAAGAAAGAGGGAGGATCTGTGTGGTGAGTGAGGGAAGAAGGAGGAAAGCGTGCCCTGAGGGTAATCCTTGACGGCTGGCTTATTTGGTTGGTTGTGTAATGACTCCGAGTCCCCTCCCCCTCCTCCTCCTCCTCCATCGCTCTGTTTAAAAGCGGGTCGCTTTCCTGCTCGGCGCCGGAGCTCTTCTTTCCCGAGAGATTGCCCTCCGAGCGCTCCATCTCTCTCTTCTCCTGAAAATGAAGCGCCTCTCCTTCCTCCTCGCCGTGGTCTTCTTCGCGGCGACGACGGAGGCCCAGCTGTACGGGCGCCGCTTCGAGGACCGGCCCGCCGCGGCTTGCCCCGACCGCTGCGACCGGTCCCGCTGCCCCGACCTGCCGGCGGAGTGCGCCTCCGGCACCCCCGCGCTCGACCCCTGCGGCTGCTGCCCGCTCTGCGCGGCCCAGGAAGGCGAGGCGTGCGGGGCGGCGCCCGGAGGGGATCCCCCCTGCGCCGAGGGCCTGCTCTGCGTCCTCTCGCCCGGAGAAGGAGCCCCCGGGGGCGCCCCGGCCTCGGCCACCGTGCGCAGGAGGGCCCGGCCCGGCCGCTGCGCCTGCGCCTCCCCGGGACCCGTCTGCGGCTCCGACGGCAAGAGCTACGACAGCCTCTGCCAGCTCCGCGCCGCCAGCCGCCAAGCCGAGGCACGCGGGCAGCCCGCCCTCATCGCCATCCAGAGAGGGCCCTGCAGCCACGGTACGGCCCCTCGCCTTCTCCCCTGGGGGGGGGGGAGGTCCATCTGTCGGGGGTGCTTTGCTTGTGTATTCATGGATGGGGTTGGACTGGGTGGCCCTTGGGGATCTCTTCCAACTCCTACACTCTTCTCTCTCATCTTCTCTGGGTGGCCATCTGTCGGGGGTGCTTTGATTGTGTATCCCTGTATAACAGAATGATGTGGTTGGACAGGATGGTCCTCTTATGTTTCTCTTTCGTTCTCTGGATGGCCATCTGTCTGGGGTGCTTTATTGTGTGTCCACGCATGGTAGAATGACGGGGTTGGACTGGATGGTCTATGGGGATCTCTTCCAATCTTCTCTCACTCTCTTTCTCTCTCTCTCCTTCTCTGGGTGGCCATCTGTTGGGCGTGCTTTGATTGTGCCCTGCATAACAGAATGATGGGGCTGGACTGGATGGCCCTCTTCTCTCTCTCTCCCTATCTGCGTGGCCATCTGTCGGGGGTGCTTTGATTGTGTATTCATGGATGGGGTTGGACTGAATCGCCCTTGGGGATCTCTTCCAACTCCTACAATCTTCTCGCTCTCCTTCTCTGGGTGGCCATCTGTCGGGCATGCTTTGATTGTGTCCCTGTATAACAGACTGGATGGCCCTCTTATCTCTCTCTCTCTCCCCCTTATCTGGATGGCCACCTGTCAAGCATGCTTTGATTGTGTCCCTCTATAACAGAATGATGGGGTTGGACTGGATGGCCCTCTTATCTCCCCCTCTCTCTCCTTATCTGGGTGGCCATCTGTTGGGGGTTCTTTGTGTATTCATGGATGGGGTTGGACTGGATGGCCCTTGGAGATCTCTTCCAACTCCTACAATCTTCTCTTTCTCTTCTGGAGGGTCATCTGTCGGGAGTGCTTTGATTGTATCCTGTATAACACAATGATGGGGTTGGACTGGATGATCCTCTTATCTTTATCTTTATCTCTCTCTCTCTCCCTCCCTCCCTCCTCTGGATGGCCATCTGTCAGTGTGCTTTGATTGTGTCACTGCATAACAGAAGGATGGGGTTGGACTGGAAGGCCCCCTTCTCTCTGTCTTTCCTTCTCTGGATGGCCATCTGTCAGGCGTGCTTTGATTCTGTCCCTGTATAACAGAATGATGTTGGATTGGATGACCCTCTTATATCTCTCTCTATCTCTCTCTCCCCCCCTCCTTATCTGGATGGCCACCTGTCAGGTGCGGTTTGATTGTGTCCCTGCATAACAATGATGGGGTTGTACTGGATGGCACCCTTATCTTTCTTTCTGTCCTCCTCTGACTTGGTTTTTTCTAAGCAGAAGCTGGATGTGCTTTGATTGTGTATTCATATATGGCAGAATGATGGGGTTGGACTGGATGGCCCTCTTATCCCTCTCTCTCTTGCTCTCCTATGGATGGCCATCAGTTGAGGGGGCTTTAATTGTGTGTTCCTGCATAACAGAAGGATGGGGTCCATCTGGATGGCCCTTGGGGATCTCTTCCAAGTCTTCCAATCTTCTCTCTCTCTGTCTCTCCATCTCTGGGTAACCATCTGTCAAGGGTCGGTCTGGATGCCCTCTTATCTCTCTCTCTCTCTCTCTCTCATTCTCTCTCTCTCTCTCTCTCTCTCCCTCTCCTCCTTCTCTGGATGGCTGAATGGCCATCTGCCAAGAGTGCTTTGATTGTGCATCCCTGCATAACAGAATGATGGGGTTGATCTGGATGGCCCTTCCATCTAGCTCTCTGTTTCTCTCTCTCCTTTACTGGAGGCTTTTAAGAAGAGGCTGGATGGCCATCTTTCAGGGGTGCTTTGTGTGTCCCTGCATAACAGAAGGATGGGGTTGGAGTGGATGGCCCTTGGGGAATCTCTTCCAACTCTTTCAATCTCCTCTCTCTCTCTCTCTCTCTCTTTCTCCAGATGGCCATCTGTTGAGAGTGCTTTGATGGTGTATCCTTGCATAACAGAATGATGGGGTTATACTGGATGGGCCTCTTATCTCTCTCTCTCTCTCTCCCCTCCTCTCCCTCTCCCTCCTTCTCTGGATGGCCATCTATCAGGGTGCTTTGATCATGTGTTCCTGTATAATGGAGTGATGGGGTTGGACTGGATGGTTTTCTCATCTCGCTTTCTCTGTTTCTCTCTCCTTCTCTGGAGGCTTTTAAGCAGAGGCTGGATGACCATCTGTCTGGAGTGCTTTGATTGTGTGTCCCTGCATGGCAGAAGGATGTGGTCTGACTGGATGGCTCTTGGGGATCTTTTACAACTCTCACAATCTTCTCTCTCTCTCCTTCTCTGGGGAGAAGCAGAGGCGGATGGTCATCTGTTGGGGGTGCTTTGGTTATGTGTTCCTGAATGGCAAAATAATGGGGTTGGACTGGAAAGCTTCCAACTTTATGGTTCTATGAATTAATCCGGTTTGACACCACTGTGATTTTATATTTCCTCACTCATTTGTTTACATATACCTGAACTCTTATAAACGTACAAGAGTGTCCATTCCCTATTTGGAATTCCAAATCTCAGATTGTCCATATGGATTGCTGACAGTGGGTGCATCTCTACACTGTAGAATGAATACAGTTTGACATCGTTTTATCTGCACCTGGTTCAACATTGTGGAATCCTCATATCTGTGTAGTTTTACAAGACAATTAGCCTCCTCTGCTGGTGCCTCACCAAACTACAAATCCCAGGATTCCATAGTATTCCAGAGAAGGCTCAAGACCTTGTGAAACTACAGCTCCCGTAAGTCCATGGCATTGAGCTATGGCAGTTAAAGTGGCAATGAGATGCACCCTTTGTGTTTAGACCAGGGCCCCTACTCCAGATATCTCACTATGTACAACTATTCCATAAATCCCAATATGAAATTCCAAATACCTTTGGTCCCAAGCATTTTGGATAAAGGGTACAGAACCTTTGTTTCGTTTTAGGTTTTGTAAGCTGTCTTGAGTCCCAATAAAATGGTAATGGGTAAAATAGAAATGAAAAACATAACAATACAGTGGGTTGCTCTTAGTTTTCCAGACTGTATGACCATGTTTCAGAAGCATTCTCTCCTGATGTTTTGCCCACATCTATGGCAGGCATCCTCAGAGGTTGTCATGATGCTGCCATAGATGTGGACAAAACATCAGGAGAGAATGCTTCTGGAACATGGCCATACAGCCCAGAAAACTCGTGGCCGTATTCCAGAAGTATTCTCTCCTGACGTTTTGCCCACATCTATAGCAGGCAACTTTAAAGGTTGTGAGGATGCCTGCCATAGATGTGGGTGAAACGTCAGGAGAGAATGCTTCTGGAACATGGCCATACAATCCAGAAAACTCATAGTTGTGTTCCAGAAGTATTGTCTCCTGACATTTTGCCCACATCTATGGCAGGCAACCTTAGAGGTTGTGAGGATGCCTGCCCTAGATGTAGGCAAAACATCAGGAGAGAATGCTTCTGGAACATGGCCATAAAGCCTGGAAAACTCACAGCAACCCACTGATTCTGGCCATGAAAGCCTTTGACAAAACTTCAATAACAATACACACATCCCCAGAATATACTATACAAGTGTAAGGCACCATTAAATAGGTGTAACACACCAAGAAGATTTGAGCCATTGTGTTTATATCTGTACACATTACTCTGGGTTGCAAAGGTGAGGATTCATTAAAAAAAGGTATGTTGGGCATGCTAAATTCAAAAATGGTCTCAGATTTGTTCCATCACATACAGGCTTTTCTCTCCACAACTTGCTCTGACATTTGTATTTTGTAATCTATACCTGAATAACATTTCTTGTTGGGGGGGGGGGGACAATAAGGAATAGGTATCAAAAATAATGGCTGCATGGCACAACATTTTTGTTTGTGCTTTTCAAATTCAGCATCCAAAAGTACATTAAGAGCACCAGCAATATTGAAAAATAAAAATAATGATCAGGCCTATTGAAAGGAAATAGTTCTACTGGAAGCTGCTGAATGCTGAGCTATTGCCACATCTAACTCAGTATTCACTGGTGGTCAGGCATCTTTCTCTGCCAATCGCAGTCCTACCTGAAGAATCTGGCTTTGAAATTAATAATTTCCCAATAATAATTGTAATAATGTGTCATCGAAGGCTTTCATGACCAGAATCACTGGGTTGCTGTGAGTTTTCCGGGTAGTGTGGCCCTGTTCAAGAAGCATTCCCTCCTGACGTTTCGCCCATATCTATGGCAGGCATCCTCAGAGGTTGAGGGGTCTGTTGGCGACTAGGGGCACTTGATGAACCAACCTGGGCACAGCATATTATTTGAGATCATAGAAATGCTGGACCATTCTAACAACCATCTTGTCAGACTACACAGAGAAGCCATTAAAATCCACAAGCATGTGGGCAATTTCAACAGAAAGGAGGAAAGCATGAAAATGAACAAAAACTGGCTACCGGTATTAGAAAAACTCTAAAATCGGGATAGTAAATAAAGAAGAACACTAAAAAAACAGGGGAGTTCCAGACAGAAAACAATGAGGGTCAGCGAACACTCCCCAAGAAAGGATTCCCCCAGGCAGGAAGCAGCCAGGCTTTGAAGCTACAAGGCCATTCAATGCTAATCAAGCTGGCCAACTGCAACATTCACACTTGCCTCAAGCAGAGGAGAGTTCCTTCTCCCATGCTGGATATTCCACAGATATATAAACCCATTTGCCTAGTTTCCAACAGACCTCACAACCTCTGAGGATGCCTGCCATAGATGTGCATGAAACGTCAGGAAAAAATGCTTCTGGATCATGGCCAGTGACCAAATTGCAATTACAATACTAATACCAATAACAATACTACTATTACTACTAATAATAATTAATATTAATATTAATAATAATAATTATTATAATCTGTGAGTGTCCCCAGGCCATTTCCCCTTATTTGTGAAATAAGATATTTGTTGGGTACTCCTTTGCTGGAAGATTTTTAACAGAAGTTAGATAGTTACTTGTCAGGAATGCCTTTGCTGTGTATATCCTGCCAAGGTATG